CAGAGAGAAACACTTCCCTCTATTCACATCCTGTTGCTGATTCTGGGTTTGTCAATTACAGACACACACAATGATTGACATTCACGCTGCCTTATCTGTCCTGTCTGTGTTCTTTGAATAATTCTCTACTGTGCTCAAAAGCAGAATTACTAGGGGCGTAATGGAACAGTTAAGAGAAGAACACGCTTCAGGCTAAATTAACTGATGATTTGTAGAAGAATACAAGAAATACCTGCACACAAATTATATTTCTTTAATTTTTATTGATATAGTCTAACGGTAATTTACCCAGTTCAATCCCAGCTTTTCAGAGGACAGTGCACAACTAGAACAACAAGGAAGCTCAGGCTCAAAATGGCCATAAACCTGAGTGGGCATACGGACAAAGATCATCCTCTCTGTTGCCTATACACCTGTTTGAAGCATTGGGATTTTTCTGATTTTAACTTCTTTTCTGTGTGTACAGATGCAAACACATTAAGGGTAAGCAGGTGGACAGAGCGGGTTAGTGGACGGAGACAGATAAGGGAGATGAGAGCACACACCACACTGCCTGGACCGTGATGTGATCACAATGACACAACCACAGTTTCATCAAAAAGAAACCAAAACCGTGAACCAAATGTCTATGGCCTGGGTTCGCGGGTTCCATTTCAAAACTGTTACATCTGACGTACAAATTACATTATCATTTCCTTAATTTCATAGCTTGTTTTTATGAAATTTGCGTTTAGCAGTGAATAGAGTCTTATCATTCACTGTGGGCTCAGATCTTTAACTATTTTGGTAAGTGGGGGATTTATCCTTTATAAGGTTACTTAACTCTATCAATTACAAAAGCTGTTCTTGTACATTTTCTACAAATCGGCTAACAGTTTCAGCACTACTTCTACTTACTGTGGAAAGTATCACCTTTGAGGCACAGATTAACTTTACCTTTACAAGTCTAACTTTGTTTATGGTGTGTACCCAAACAACAAGGTCCCAAACCAGTTTGGTGCTCAGAAAGTCCCTGCTCTAACTCACTTTCATTTTCCACTTGTAGGTGAAATGTTTTCCTAGTTGATCATGTTTCACTGAGGCTCCTACAGATTGTTCTCAGATGCTGCCTATTACACTTCTTCAGTTATGGTGTTACTCTGTGTGTTTTCAGTAGCTTTATAAAACTGAAAGGTTTGCAGAGTGCAGCAGTCCAGTGCAAGAAGTCAGCCTACGGATGACACGTCTTTGTAATAAATGACAATGCGATAGAGCAGTCACAGTTGGCTTTTCTTTTGTCATTGTCACTTTAGGGCTAAGAATTTTGTCTGTTGACTCAGATTGGGCTGCACTATCTGTTCTTTCTTTTTTTTTTTACCTTATATATAGCCTGAAAATTAGTAATCAGATGCAAAAAAGTGACAGGAACATATTTCTGAGCATTTAAAAATCAATAGAGAGCTGCATATGATGCAAGATTTAAACTGAGACCTATTTATAAACTGACAATATATAATGCTGGGCTGCCATATAGATTTGTTGGAATAATGAGAGAGGTGGCACACTTGTATTTCTGTTGGAACAATGTTCTTATAAGCTATTTTTTTCTTTTGAGACATAGATGCAGCCTAGTTTTCCAACACGTTTGAACTAGTTAACCAGCGCATGTTGTTACGTTGGATGCGTGCCAGCTTGCACTGCTAAAGAATATAACATATATTTATGATTCACCTAATTAATAATTTCTCACTCAAATGTTTTCCCATTGCATTTTGTGAGCTTCCTACTCCCATTCAGATGGATGCATGTCACAGAAACATAAGAAAAACAAACTGGATGCACATACGCAAAACTCGCTGCAGCATCACGACCATCAATGTTTTTTCTATTGTAAAAGTAGACTGCGATGTTTGAAAACACTTCTGATAATGTACAAATCTCACCTTTATGTGTCTTGTCCTAGTGGATTTTGCTGCCCTTTTCTCCTTGTTCTGGGCAGCACTTTGCTAAATAGGGTCGTTAGACCTTAATACATTCATAGTACAGTGTCACCATTGACGTGGTATTGAGCAAACTGGCGCTTGGCATATGAAAATGAGGAGAAGACAAAATAATGGGGGCTGGCACTGCCTTCTATTGTAGATCACACTAGCTGACATATATATATATATATACA